CTGGGGGCCCGGGAGCCGGCCGGCGAGGTGAAAGTGCAGGTGTGTGGCCGGGAGGTCGCGGTGCGCCTGGCAGTGACCCGGCCCGGAGCCTTGAGGGCAGGGACGGGAGCTGGAGCGGCGAGGCGCACGCCGGTTTCGCTGCCTCAGCGACAGGGAGAAGAGCTAGAGCCTCTGCAGCGCGTTCTGCTGAGCTTGCAGGTCTGCACAGTCCCTGGAGCCAGCTCGGGCTCTGTTTTTTCGGTTTGCCGTTGTTGGAGCAGACCCGAAGCTTTGACGTTGCTCGGGGCACATGCCGGGAAAGGCTGTTGCTGTGATGGGTTATACTGAAGCGTGCTCTGTCCGGTTTTGGTTTTATCACCAGTTTGGTTTGGGAGAGTGAACCATTGCCTCTGTGCTGATGTCTTTAAAGATTTGGTTAACGTCTTGTTCCACCTCTAGGTTTATAGCGGTGTTGGGTAGAGCCAGTGATAACAGTTTCATTGATGTTCGTGTCTGGCTCCTCTTGTGAGCCAAGGTAGATGGGGATAAATGGACTTTTTAGCCATGGAGCTCTTTAGCACAAGGTTGTGTGCTCCCCTGTTTTCTGGTGCTCTGACTGACAGAGTTGCAGGCACATAGTCCATGTTTTAGTGCAAGGCCCTTGGGTAGAACTGTGCAGCTGTCAGTATTTCTGGATAAATCTGTCAAGGACTTGGTAACAGTTTTAAACTGAACTGAAGAAGAGTAGATTTAGATTTATAAGGAAGAAGTTACAATAAGGGTGGTGAGACGCTGGAGTTGCCCAGGGAAGCTGTGGCTGCCCCCTCCCTGGCAGTGCTCAAGGCCAGGTTGGATGGGGCTTGGAGCAACCTGGTCTAGTGGAAGGTGGGCAGGGGGTTGGAACTAGGTGGTATTTGAAGGTTCCTTCCAACCCAAACCATGCTATGATTCTGCAGACCCAAAAAATGCCTTGTAGCCCACTGGTACTCCTGCACACACATAGATGAAGCCTAGTAAGGTAGGAAAAAGTTCATCCTGTATAGGTGCTTTTTGGATGTAGTTTAATAAATAATGTAAGTTGGAATAAACTGATGCCAAAATTGGCAATACCACTTTTTTTTTTTTTGTCCCAGGTCCTTGCTGCTTTGTTGCCCTTCCCCTATGCTGGCAAAAATGTTTTTTGTATTAAACTGGGTTGAGGAGCTGGTCTGGCTTAAACCCAACCTTATTATGGCCAGGTTATTGGAATATGCAGTCTGGTCTGAGTCAAGATTGTCACTACACATTGATGGTGGTGAGGTGTGAAGAGGTTGAAACATTGCTGCCACGGCCTCTGGTGCTCCAGTACAAGCCTGTGGGTGTGCTCATACTTCCTATTGCAGGATGCAAGACTCCTCTCCTTAGTTAACAGATCCCAGAACAGCCTGATGAGGTGGGGAAAAAAAGCTCTTGAGAACATTTCTTTGTTCAGGGGGTTTTCTGTGTTTTGTTAAGGAGCACTTACGAGAAAAGAAACTAAGAAAACCGTCTGCCATTATACAATAAATATCACACATCAAGTATAACGTGTATGATGTGTCCTGGGGATTTACTGGAATACAGAGGATAAGCACAACAGCTTCAGACATGTTATTGTACGAAATACCTTTTAAACACCTGTGGTTTAGCCATAAGAACATGAGGGTGCCCAGATGATCAGACTTTAGTATTAGACTCTTGTTTCTTGCATTAGTCCTTGCCTCAGGTGGAACGCCCTGCAGAGGTCCTTTAGGTAAATGCCTGTCTGAAATTGTGAGGCTCTAGCAAAAGCTGAAGCTTCATTATTAGGTTCATGGCTTTAAAATCTTCTACAGTTCTTGTATGCAGTGTCCTCTCCCTGGTATACGAGCCTGTCTAATTCCTTCTCTGTGTTAGCAGTCATGAATGCTCTATTTTTGGTACTGTGTGAAGCCTGAAGTTTGTTCAGTCTCGATGACAGAAGCAGATTGATTCACATTGGTTTGTCTGGTATAAAATCCCTAAAGCACTTGTGCAGTTTGAAGTCATTGGAAGTACTTGGGCGCTTACAGTCGAGCAAAGGACAAAACTGATTGGAAAAGAGGCAGTTTGGTTGTTTAGTCAGCACTGGTTTGATTGTTCTCTACAGTATTAGTATAAGATGAGCACGCACCTAAACAACTGTGCATTGTTGGTCTCTCCCGTTTCAGTAAGAAGAGTTTTGAAGGGACATCACTGCTAAGAATGTGTACTTTGCTAAAATGCTCTTCATCTTCAGAGCACTTTGCTGCTTTCTGTATTCTCAGCTTCCCAGAGATGCATGTAGATCTTAGTTATCCCTGCTATACTCGGGAGGAGAGCTGATCTCTCTACTGAAGGATTTGTTTCTCTTTGCTTTGAAAAACTCAGTAGAAAAACTGACACTGACTTGGGTTTTTTTATTATTTTTTATTTTTGTTGCCCCTAAAGAAATATTTCATTTGATTTCAATAAGAAGTTGAAATAGGCCTGAAGTAGCATGTCCAGCTCAGCCGGAAGAAGAGCATGACTGCGGAGAGTCCACACCAAGAAATAACAATATTTCTTTTTCTTTTACCTCTAGGGCTGGGTCCGCTCGGTCCGATCTCAGAAGGAGATTTTGTTCCTGCATATAAATGATGGGAGTTCTCTGGAAAACCTCCAGGTGGTTGCTGATCCCAGCCTGGAAAATAGGTTGGTCAGTTTGAGACACCTGCAGAAGTATCTGTGTTGAGCAGTGCTTGGAGGGGTCTGCTCAGGTCTCCTTTCCTGTGCCAGTGGCTCACCAGCAGCTGGCACCTGACCACAGGAAAGGCACTGCTGCAGTCTGGGGTCTCTGGGTGTGTTTTTAGGATGGAGAGTGTCCGAATTCTCTGTCTCCACTTAGCTGAGGCCTTGTGGTTCAGTTGGTTGTCCTGTGAGATTAATTTGGACCTTATTTTGTTAATAGCTGTAGCAGCGTGGGCATTCTGGGCTACTGTTTGACTTGCGTGGAAATCACACCACGTAGGCAGGGATAACTGTCCGCCAGATTTTGGAGAGCACTGTTACTCTTCCTAGAACTGCTTCAGGGCTGGCTTGGCAGGCAGGCACCCCCCCCCTAGATAGGCAGGCACATCCCCTAGATAGGCAGACCTGTTCTGTTCTAGTAAAACAATGCACCTGTTTTACAGCTTCATTTTGTTTGTTACTCTCAGTTGTTCTTTGGACTAGGGTTGGGAGTTTGGGGATGATCCAGGAACCTTCTGTGTGTAACTTGATGGGTTTTTTTTTTTTAAATCTTTTTTGTTGTGGGTTTTTTTTTTTCTATAAGCCTGGTTTGTCCTCCCCAAGAGCCCCTTCAAATAAAAGCCTGTCCCCCCTCACTTGTCCAACATTCCTACCTTGTCCTAAATTCTTCTATAGCTTTGTGAATCTATTTGCATTCCCACGTATACATTTAAAATTTTTTATTTCATCAATTAAGCCCTATGGCTGCGTTATCTCTTGTGATCTCAAGTGGTCCAGCTGGGTTAACGGGAGTCTCTCTTTTTGAGTGTAGTTGACGTTGTATCAGCACCTAGTTAAGCTGCTGTTTTTTCTTGGTTTCGTAGAGACTTGACTTTTGGAAGCGCAGTGGAAGTGCAAGGGGAACTGGTCAGAAGTCCTCACAGGATGCAAAACATGGAGCTGAAAGCCGAAACCATCCGTGTGGTGGGACCTTGTGATACTTTGGTATGTCACTGCAGCGGGAGTCCAGCTGGTAGGACTGCTTTGGAAATGAATTTCAAAAGGTCCAAGTATTCAGCAAAGTGTGCTTCAAAATATATTTTCCCTTAAGTCTGAGTGGTTGGGCAGGCTTTGATTTGTAAGGGGTGTCTGTGGGGTACATCAAAGGAGAAACATGCGATCACCATGAAAGCTCTCAACTGGGGCAGAGCTGTTTCTACATGGAAACTGGCGCACGTGCTGGCAGCTAAGAGTGTGTTTGTCCCACCCTGAAGCACTTCCCTGTGGTTCAGCTGGTCAGTCCGGCTGGGATATGAATTGGAGAAGCAGCGAGACTGGCAAAATGCTCCAGGTTGTGCAGATGGAAGAACTGTATCTGCCACGGGCACGTTTGGAACCCGCTCGCTGTTGCAGCAGTGAGATGAACAGCTGGCTTTCAAAGGGGCTCACCGTCCAAAAGGTGGAGCATTTCAGAGCGCTTCTGCCTTCTGTGGTGTTCATGGCTCTGGCTCTGCTGTAAGCATTCCAAAATCCACAAAATAACTAGAAAAGGTAGGCAGAAAGCATCTAGTTCTTCTCTGCTCTGTAATCACAACTTAATTTTAGCAGACAGAGATGGTATTCCATGAATAGCAACAAAACTACGTTGACTGCAAATTCTCATCCTCTTATTTTTCTTTCCTTGTTGTTTTCAGTCCTTCCCCCTGAAAATAAAGGAGAGGCACCCGCTGGAGTATGTCCGACAGTTCCCTCACCTGCGGTGCAGGACCAACACGCTCGGCTCGCTCTTGAGAATCCGCAGCGAAGCCACTGCAGCCATCCACTCCTTCTTCCAGGTAGTCCCTTCTGTAGCGAGCCTTAGGTGTCCAGTGCTTCTCTGGTCGGGCTCCATGGGAGCACATTAGGAGGGAGAAGAGGGAGGGAGCGTGATGTCTTGACTGCAGGGTGTGGATTTTGGACAGGGTGGTTTTCATTCCGGGCTTGGGCCTGGCTGAGGCCTTGGCTAGACTGTTGCTTATGGTCAGGTTAGCACATCTTGTTACCATCTTTCCACCCGTTCCCTGTTGGCTGTTTTATCCCTTTCACTAAGTTGCAAATGTAATTGCCTGCGAGTGTGTGTGGTCTGTGGAACGCAACATCATGTGGTGTTGTTTAACCATCCTCAAGCAGTGACCTCGAGGTCCTTGGGCAGAAGCCTCCTCTCCCACGGAAGGATCTGTGACGCAGGAAGGCTCCCGACAGACGGACTCAGAGCTTCGTGTTCCTCTCCTCGGTTCTTACCTTTCTCTTGCTGCGTCACAAGGCTGTGTGGATGCTGTTAGCTGAGATTCAGAGCCTCCTGTTCTGATGCACTTCAGACTGATGGGTGGGAGGCACCAGTGTTTTAGGAATGTGTCACTCAAGCTGTGGGTGTGGTACAGACTTTGTGCAGGCTGTCGGGACAGGGAATTAACTCTGATTCCAGGTGCTGTATAGAGGTACTGGGGTTCTTTGCATGAGTAGCAAGTCCTCTAGTGCACCTGAGCCCTTTCTTTTAAAGCTGTTCATTGAAATAAAAATGTTTTCGTTTAGACAGACTGGGTTTAGCTGGAGCAGAATCATATTCAGAGCGTTCTGATTACGAAATTCGTACGCAGTAATTAGCACGGCCCAAAGAACAGGTCAGAATAGCTGAGAATTAATTTCTGGTCCCAAGTATGGTGGTACTTGTCGCCTGCAGTGGCAAAGAAGGCTTGCTTGCTCTAAGAGTTATCTGTATGGAATTGCATGGTATTAAAAAGACTTCTATTATTTTTATTTTTTTTTTAAGAGCCTGGTAGGGATGCTGTGTCAGGTAAAGCTGCTGGTGGTGTCAGCGTTGTGCCAGGTGCTAAGGCAGAACCCAGCTCTACTGGGAGTCGGTCTTTGCTGGTGTCGAGCCACTAGATGGCATTGCCTACAGCGATTTGTGACTTCGAACGTGGACCGGGAAGCCAGCCCAGGCACAAAAAAAGCATCTTACTCTGACAAAGGCTTTACTTCTCCAAATTAACCCCAGCTCCCACTCTGACATACCTTCCTGTTTAAAGTGCTGAAGAGCTGAGCAGTGTTAAAATTATGACGTATCATTACTTTATGCTATGCTAAAGTTATTTTTTAAGTGTTAAGGAAGATTTGGTCCCAGACCTGATATTTGCAAAGGGTTATGTCACAACTCTCCTGGCACCAGGACTGTGTGTGGTTTGCTCCGTTTCTGATGGAATGAAAGAAGTCTTTGAATTGCTACCTACAGCGCCCCAAGAACGCTGGAATTTCCAACTTGACAATGTCAGAACATACCATAACTGGAAAGTATAATCAGAGTGTTTTCCCTGTGCAAAGGTGTGATGAGCCTAATGGTGAAAGAAAATAAGTGGGGTTTTTTTGAGTACACGCTTAAAATGATCTAAACTCTCTGTAACTTTAAAAATTATTTTTTTTTTAGCCTATTCATTTCCAGCAGTGAATGACTCATGCCAAATGCCTTGAGTTTGGATGTTGAAGGTTAAAATGTCGTCTTTAAATCTTCTCCTGATTTCCCTGGTCCATGTGGGATAGGAACACTGTTCCTAGGCACAGTAAAATAGTTGTGATGTGGATGGCAGCCTCCACTTTGCATGTTAACTTCTGGGTTTCTCAGAGCCAGTAATGTGACTTGAAGCGTTTTAGGAGCTTTTACAAGGGGAACTACCCGAGAGGTTTTCATGGGATTCTCATCTTTCAGACCTGTGCAGTCCCCGTTCCTTTCCAAAGCACATGAGGGGTCTTCTGGGTGAAATGTGCTTCTTTACAGCAACTGCTACCACTGTATGAGGAACTCTGGGAATTTTCCAAAGTCTCATGTAGGGCTGGGAGGCCACGTGACCAGCAGGTCTCTGGAGTATGCATGGAATTGTGCCAGAGACCTGCATTTTCTATTGGTAGGCTGAAACTACCCTCCCCAGGCAAAGCAAGTAGTTCTGTCTCCAGAAGTTCTGTGTAGTAACTGGATCTCGGTGAGGAGCTCCTGCCGGGCACTCGGCGTGCCGAGGTCTTTGCACCTGCAACCGAGGCAGCCTCGAGCTGACTGCAGGGACTTTGCTCCCTCTTGGTTGGGTTATGACATTGTGTGTCCATACAAACCCTTTGGTGCAAATTATTTTTAGTTTGAGTCTCAGGATGGGCAGGAAATACTGCTCCTGTCTTCCTCGCCTTTTAACTGGCTGGTGACAAGGACCAGGACTCTCATGTGAATGGTCAATTTGTATTATTCTGGTAAAAGCTGTGAAACTAACCTTTTACAAACGTTTGCTTTTCTATCTTTTTTTTTTCTGTTAGTGTTTTGTGTAAACAGACAATGGGCTATGCCACATCGTTGCCTGTATCATGCTAATGCTGGCACACCTTGATTTTAAAGGGGTTCCCTTTGTGCAAAACATCACAGTGATGCAAGAGAAAACAAATCCTTTATTCACAGCTGAAGTCAGCTAGTTCCAGCCCAGCTCTGTGCTCCACCAGTGATCTCTGTAGTGAGACTAAGTTAGGAAGGGGACATTAATAGAGTTCTGTTCCTGATTGACTCTAACGTGCTGCATGTGATTGAGATCTGCTTGATGTACACCCCCCACTGAAAACTGGGTTGCAGCTGGTTTAAAAGTCTACATCTACCCTGCAGAGGAACCCAGAGAATAGGGGCTTTTTCTTCGTACAGCCTTCCTGGCCTCAGAGGCCTCTGCTGGATCTATGAACTGTTACGTGAATAGTTAATTCTCCAGCTACCTAGAGCATGACCAAGCTAGAGTATACTCTGTCTTTTAAAATCCGTTTGACTTCAATATCTCAGAAGATGTGAGGTGGGACTGACATTTTCATAGTGGATGGATGTTTTTAAGGCCCGTCTCCCATGCAGTGTGTCGTCTGTGTCATCTAACACACTTGAGCATTTCTCTGAGTGGAGAACACTTGAGAGAATGTCCTCTGCCTGATCACCATCCTCCAAAAAGCTGGAAGAAACTGGAGTGTTGAGGCCATAGGGGTGAATTTGATTGCAACTGCCAAAAAATATAAAAATACTGGAGGAGGTGAGAGGAAAGGGGAATAGTGTGGAAATGGGCAGTTGTGAAAAATCTCATTTCTGCTTGAAATATGGAGGAAAAAGCACAAATAGTGAACACTGATTTGTAAATCATGCTAGCATTTAGTTAGTCCTCTGTCTTTGTCCATGTAAGGCAGAAGTTGTCTGAAAGAGTACATATGCTGTCCTGGTTGGGGGCTAATGGCTGAGTTATGATGTGTGCTGGTTGATGTCATCCTTGAAGTTGACATTTGATATCTTTATAGCTAGAAACTAGTTAACTTCAGTGTTCTGTCTGTTCCAGGATAATGGCTATGTGCATATTCATACCCCCATAATTACATCAAATGACTGTGAAGGTGCTGGAGAGCTCTTTCAGATTGAGGTAAGTTGGGTTGTGTAAAGTTTGTTTTGATTTTTTTTTTGCTTGCAGAGCAATTCTGGAGTCATTGAAGGTTAGAGGAAATGTTTGTCTTTACAAAACTTTTCCTTTATGTACTTCTGTGATTATTTTTTTACTATGTCAGTCCTCTGCTTCAACTAATAGTTTAGAGAGAGTTAAGCATTACTACTCTTTTTGTTTGTTTGTTTTTAATTGCTGTTTTGTACATTAATCAGCACCTTTTGTACTGATGAGGTTTTTCTATCCCTGGTGCTGTGGAAAAGTTTACAAAGAACCACAGAGGGAGGTGGAACATCTTAGTGAACAGAAAGTTGTGATCATAAGAGCCCAAGAGATGGGCTGGGGCATTCAAGACAGGCTACTATGTGCAAATATTTCTTGGCCTTGAAAGGAACACTATAACTTACCATGAGAACTCCTTAAAAGAAAGTCAGCAATACCTATAACTCCTTTTTGCTTTCCACCTGTGTACATATTCCTCCCTACAAGCTGCTCCTGTTGTATGTTGGAATTCTCCCCCAGTATTTCCAAGTCTCCCCATCCATCCATCAAATTACTGCCACAATCTATCGTTATATGATGTACTGCATGTCTTGGGTCAAAACCTCCTGTGAAACTTAAATACAGCTACAACCACTAAGATCTTCCCCACAGTTCTGTCATGATTCTGAACCCCCATATCCATGAATCATAAGAAATTCCATCTGCCTTTTATACTTCTGTATTTGAAATTCTCTCTTCTGTCTCAAACAATTGCATCCATTGCTACTTATGCTTATTGGCTCCAGCCTTGCTGGTGAATCATCTGTAAGCAAAAGAAAAATTGTTGAGGTAGCAATTGCTTGCTGCGGAGTCCCGTCTTCCACTCTCAGCACGGCCTCATGACAAAAAGCCTCCATGTACTGGTTCAGGATCTCAAGGTCTAACCTGTGCCTACTAGTGATTCCCTTCCAGACCAGTACATGTGGCTCAGCTCTTTGCTTGCTGGGACAATAGAGCTGATTAGCGAAACTAAATTGTTCCTGTTTAATTGAGATCCCTTAATGCTACCAAAGGTTCGTTCCAAGCTGTTGCATGCAAATTAAGATGTGAAAACAAGTGACACTTGATGATGAGAACATTATACAGTTTGCAGCTGTACAGTGCGTTACGTCTTCGGTACAAATTGTATCCACTTGAAAGCTGTAGAGGATGCAGGGCTGCGGCGTAGGTGGGTGGTAGTAGTAGCACTGATGGAAGTGTTGATTGAGGTGCCAAACTCTGAGTCTTGTGTAAGCTGGATCTTACCTAAATGCATAGCTGAAGGCAAGTCTCTCTGTCTCCCTCCAGTGTGATTGCTTAGGTGTAAAGAAGACCTGTCTTGGAGAAACGTAGTGAAAGCTGTGCTTGAAAGGTGTGGAGTAAGTGCCAAGTCAGATTCCATTAAATGGCCCGTGCCACAAAGAAAGGCCTTCAGAAGCCCACTTGCTGCTGGGAAGTGGGAAGTTCTCCCTCATTTCCTGTTTCTTCTGGAGTGCCGCTTTGTTGTCTGGCCTGATTTAGGACTTGGTTTTGTTTCTGCAAAGCTCTGCTCAGAATTGGTGTTGGCTAACAGAGATCCGAGATCACTTGCTATCCTCCTGTGACCTCTTCACTGGAGCAGTGGCACTGTTTCTTGACAGTGGAAATCTGGGGGAGACTAAGCCTGCCTGGGGCTGTGCATGTGAGGCTGTCAGACATAAAAATAAGGGTGACAGAAGGACGTCAGACATAAAAATAAGGGTGTGGTATTTGCAGCGAAGCCCGGAATCTCTATATGCTTTTAATCAAACCAACCATCAAGACATTCCCTGTCGGCTGTATTCAGTCACTTTTTAAACTAGCCCTTAATGCACTGCTTGCACAGGCAAAGGGAGTCAATAAATTCCTGTTCCTCTTGTATTTGAGCACTAGCCAAGAATTACGGTGATGGGAATCAGTGAAAGCAACCTGCAAATTAGATTCTTCGATTTAAAAAAAAAAAAAATGTTTAAATCCTGTACTTAAAGCTTTAAGACCTATTGTCCAGTTGCAACCAGAATATAAATTGGTGTCCTATTGCTCCTGAATTTGTAGTGGTTAAATACACCGGCTGCTTACGGGTTGTTTTTTTTTTTGAGCTCCCTTGGGTGATCTATAAAGCTGATGATCACACTAGTTTAGCTGTCCTGCTGCAGGTGGAATAAGTTGAAAGCTTTGGTTGAGCAGCCTTTAGGACCAAAGTAGAGGCTACTTTTGCACCCACTGTGGACCATTGCCTTTTAATAGCTGTCTTCTCCTGACTGGCACAGTTTTAATCCTCTGACTGATGTCTGATGGTTGCTCAGGCACGTGCCTTCTTTGGAAATGGTGGAAAGTGAATAGAGTAGGAATCTCTTTTTACATGAGACTTGAAGAGATGGGGGGGAAAAACGTATCTTGAGTTAGAAGGAAAAGGCTCTTTGAAGGCATGTGATCTTTCCATCTTGTATATGTTTATATGTTCAGCTTCCTCATTACCTTCGTTTGGGTTTGGGTGTACTGATTAGTCTGTACATAGCTTTGGCTGGGTTGTTCTCATACTAGGACTTGGGATGGGGGGAGAATCCCTCCCCTGTCTGCTGGGAAATTCAATTCAGCTAAATATTTTTAAAATGATTTACGCTAATAGTGAAGAGAGCAGTAAGCAGAGATTATTTTTTAAAATAAATAGATCACAAGGTGGCAAGAACTCCAGAGAAATATTTTGCACTTGTGACTTTCTACACCTGAAAAGTGTAGGTTTGAGGATAAACTGCCAGAAGTGTGAAAACAGCCAGGCAGACCCTAACCTACACAGAAAACATCAGCAGCAACACCAGCGTGTGGGTTTCGGCACCTTTGACGGTGTCTGCCTTTGGTGGAACCCTGGAGGGGGGGGGAAGCGTCTTGCTTGTGCTGCCTTATTTATAGTAAGGTTACTGAAAACAGCAAAAGATCTTTGACTATTGAAAGCTGGGGTTTAGTACAATGCAAAGTAGGATGAGATAATTCTTGAAATAGGGGCAACACAGATCAGCAGGGTGGGATGGCCCTTTTTATTTTAATTTCATCTGAGAATAATTCCTCTGTACCAGCAGTCTTAGCACCTCAGGGCAGATCCTTTCTTTGCTTTTTCTTTTTGTCTTCTGAAGTCTAAAATTCTTAGCAGCTTTGTATGTTGCAAGAAACTTTACCCAGTCCCCTTCTGGGGCTGCTTCCTAGGAAATCTGCCTTTCTTTTGTCTGTGTGACCCAGCTGCATGTCTGTTCCCTGCTATTTTCAGTAGCCTCCCACTCTGTCTGCAGTGTTGAAGACTCTGTGCTTTCTGGCTGTCTTGTTCTGTCTTTTCCACTTTGCTCCTTGGAAGGTTTCCTTGTTTGACTGTCCTCAGCTGCTGTGGAGGAGGTGGAGGCTCCTCGTGCTCTGGAAGAATCTCTCTGGCCCAGGACACTCCAGCCAGTACGGTGTGACCCTGGACAGCCCCTTTCCCTGCTGCCCAGCTGCAGCCTTCTAAAAGACCTCAGCATGCAGTGAGTGACAAAGCACAACAGCTGTATTGGCCTTCACAGCTCTTTAAAGTGGATTTCACATGTGTTTTGTATTGCCTGTGGCCTTATTCTTTCCTGAGGACCTTGCTCTAGGTGTAAGGAGTGCTGAACTCTACCTGTCGGCTCCAGCAGAGGTAATATGTGCTCTACATCAGCCCTGTCTCTTCCCACACTCATACCTCATTGCATCTGAGTGGTGTTTGACTGAACCCAGGGTCTGGATCAGGCTATTTTGCTGTTTGAAAGGATACTTAACTGTAAACCTGAAGAACCATCCAGGTATTGTTCTTCTCTAAAATGTATCCCAATATCGTACGGTGTTTGGCTTTGGGGTTTTTTTTTGCCACCTGCTCGCAGGAGTGAATGTAAAAGTTTGTAGATCCCTGAAGAGTGCAAGTTCATGGCTGTGCCTGCTGTGGCACCAGAAATATGTGCCTGCTGCAGAAGATGCAGAAACTTGCTCTTACTGTTCCTTCGGTACTGCTGAAAAATAACTTTGTCAGCACCAAGGAAGGCAGGGATCTGCTGGGGAGAATCACAGCTAAATGCAACAGTGCTGGTGTCTGTCAAGTGTTTTCCCCTTTAGAGATGCATCACAGTCTGGGAGGCAGCCAGGTCCTGGGAGACTGGGACTTCAGAGAGGTGCTCAGGAGGGGTGAGGGTAAGCTGGAACTGAGCTGAAGGAGGGCTTGCTCTTGCATCTTCTAGCTCTCCCAGTTCCTGCTTGTTTCTACCTGGCTCATCTCTGCCTGTAATTCCAGTCCATATTTACGAGATGTTTGTCTCGGCAGAACCACCTGCTATTGCCCAGTGCAAGTCCAGCTGATCAGAATGAGGACTGGAATTGCAAGGAGGACTTCTTGGAAGTTAGGAATCTTGCAGTGGTGGTCTGAAAAGGAAATCCCAATCATGTTTATAATGGGACACCACAGAGGGCAGGTCTGGATTAAAGATGTGGTGCTGTGAAGCTTCAGCAGCACAGTGTTGTAGGCCTGGGCTAGAGCTACAGCAGTGATTTCTATGAGCTTTTCAAGTCTTCTCTGATCCTTTCATGCATTTGGCTTGCATAGAGTGAAAGACAGAATCAAACGGTTTGTACTCTCCTGAAGCTAATTGCCTCCAGTAAAAGTTAATACAAGACTGACATCAAAGGGAATACTTTTAAATTAAATCGTTAGACATTTGAGGAGATGGAGAACAAAACAGGTACTAAATCCAGTTATTCCCGTATTTAGAATGAGAATAAAAAGCCTTTGATGTTGATGTTGAATCCTAGTATGTTTATAGCACGTTTACTCTGAGACACCAAGATGTTTCATATAGATTCTCCCTCCCTCTTTCCCCATTGTAATTTGGGTAGTTTTCGACTAGGGAGTGGAGAGAACTTGAAAGTAAACACCTTATTCCCCCCCTAATCTTTTATCAAGTAGGTGTTTTGGGGTTGGAAAGTGGGAGAAAAGTGTATCTGATTGAAATAAAAGCACCACGATGTTGTCACTTCATGTTGCTAGTCATGGACACAAAAAAGAATCTCGCTCCGTGTCGGCAGTGAAGGGATAGCATCACCTACTATTTATTACTTGTCTTCTACCAGTGGCTGTGGTTGTTTATAATGCAGAAGCAAGCTTGATCTAAAAGGCTGAGCATAAATCTGGGGCACGGGCACTTGAAAACACTGACCTGACCCTGTGCTTGACTGCATGAAGTGGAAGAAGTACTTCTGTTGGGTTAGTTGATATTTGTACATGGAAATGTAAAGCTGTTATTAACGGGATGCCTCCCATTTCCTTCAGAAGGGACCCCTTCAGCAAGAAGGTGTTTCATTTTCCCTGCCTATGAGTGGGTTGACTTTTGCAGCTCACAACACCCATTGATCAAGCTTTGGGCCTCAAAATGAAGGAGAGGAAGTGGGCAGCTGTGGAGAGGGGATGTGATCGGATGGTGATGGGGGAGTAAAGTGTTTTTTCTCAATATTGCTATGTTCACTCTTCACCTTCTCTTGGAAGCTGTACAGGAGCTGCTCACAATGCAGACACACCTCTCGGGATCTCTCGGTGGCCTCTCAAAGCTGGCTGCAGGTTTTGCAAGTCCAATTGAGCTGTAGAAGTTCCTCCAGTCACTTACTGGTGTGTCTTTCTTTTTTTTTTTCCTCCCTTTGCCTCCCTGAGATTACATCTGATTTGGAGAATGAAAAATGACACAAAGTCATTATAAATAAACTAAGCCCCAGCTCCTGGAGACAGCTGTATCCTGTTTGTGGATTTGGGGGGAAGTGTTGAGATTTCATGGCTGATTTCTTCTGTTCTTTTCCTGCTTCCAGTCTGTCTCTTTTCTCGTTGTTTAGAAGTTGCATCCTACAGGATTAGGTGGGATTTTTCACTGGTGGAACAAGGAATGTAGCTAAACTAAGTTTGCAGTAGGAGAAACGGGAGTGGTGCATGGCTCTCCTCTTTAGTGTTCTGGCCATGGCTCTGGGGCTGTGGTATGTGGATGTTTGTGCGTTTATTAATATTCTTATTGTTTTTGAGCAAATACTCTGGGTTTATTTGAAGAAAACAATAGGGGCCTGCTTCTGCATCCTTGGGTTTTTGTCGTTTGGTTTTTTTAGAACTGCAAAACCTATGAAACAAAGGAAGCAGGCCCGGGGTTGCAGCCACAAATTGTCATACTTGCCTTGATCTCTGTGGAGCAAGGCAAGCTTGCTCTTTTCTTTAGCGTGATGCTGTGAAGAGATAAAACTGCCTTGTGATCTGAGGTCTTTGGCAGTCTCTGTTTTATCTTTGTGATGAGCAGCAGAGCTTTTTGCGAACAAAAGCAACACCTTCTGTCTCATTGAGAAAAATGGCAGGTTGTAGAATATCAAAGGCTGGCAAACAAGCCTGAGCAGTAGCAACCTCCCTGTGACAAAGCAGGTTGGGGAGTAGGGTGGCTGGAGGCAGTGGCATACTTAGCTGAGCTGGCAACACTTAGCATAACTCCTAGGAACGACACTTTTGAAAAGTGGATATTTCAAACTTATCTGAGAAGAAAGTATTTGCCTGGAAGTGAGTGTAGATCAGCCAAACCTCAGGTTAGCGTCTGAAGTTTCCTTCTTTCTCCTGAACCTTTGACTCCTCCAAAGCTTAGGGATGACATTGACATATAGAAAATGCTGAAACAACACATTTATCTTCATGGGTTTTTTAAAAGTCACAGAATTATGACCTCTAGACATCATCTAATCCATCTCACCATGCTCAAACAGGATCAGCTAGAGCAAGTTGCCCAGGACTCTGTCCTGCTGAGTTTTTAACGTCTCCCCAGATGGAGACTTCACAGCCTCTCTGGGCAACCTGTGTTTGACCACCCTCACAGTAAATAAAGAAGTTTATTCTTGTTTTCAGATGAAATTGTGTGTGTATGTTTTAACATCTATGCCCGTTGCCTCTTGTCCTCTCAGTGAGGCACAGCTGGGATGAGTCTGGTTCCTTCTTCATTCCCTTCCATCAAGTATTTATATACAAGGACAAGACCCACCCCCTGAGCCGTCTCTTCTCCCTGCTGCATAGTCCCAGCTTTCTGCCTTGCCTCATGTGAAAGATGCTCTGGTCCATTAATCATCTTTGTGGCCCTTTGCTGGACTCACTCTGATATGTCCATGTCTCTCTTGTACTGGGGAAGTGAGCACTTCACCCAGCAATCTTGTGAATCACCAGTGCTGTGCAGAGGGGAGGGATCCCCTCCCTTGACCTGCTGGCTGTGCTCTGCCTAAGGTAGCCCAGGAGGCTGGTGACCTCCTTTGCCATGAGGGCTCCTTGCTGCCTTACGGTCAGCTTGGTGTCTGCCAGGGAAAGGGTGAATGGTCCTTATGCTCCCAGGACTGGAGCTTGGAGAAGAGGAGACTGAGGGGTGACCTCATCAATGGTTATAAATACGTAAAGGGTGAGTGTCAGGAGGATGGAGCCGGGCTCTTCTCGGTGATGGCCAATGACAGGACAAGGGGCAACGGGTGCAAGCTGGAGCACAGGAGGTTCCACATGAACATAAGGAAAAACTTTTTCACTGTGAGGGTGACAGAGCACTGGAACAGGCTGCCCAGAGAGGCTGTGGAGTCTCCTTCTCTGGAGACATTCAAAACCCTCCTGGACACGTTCCTGTGTGACCTACTCTAGGTGGTCCGGCTCTGGCAAGGGGGTTGGACTGGATGGTCTTTCGAGGTCCCTTCCAACCCCTGCCATTCTGTGATTCTGTGACTCTTAAAGTGCATGACACAGAGGTCTTCTAATTTTTCTTTTGTGCCTGTAAATTAAGTAGCAAAAATATACCATCACTTTAATGGGACTTTTTTAGACAGTTTTTCATAATGAAACACTGAACTTTCCACCACTTAGGTTTTTATGCTTGAAATATCTGGTGACCTGAAAAAATATGCAAAAGCTGAAATGAAACGTAGTTTGTTTTTCAGTGCCTATATAATGTGTAAGCTGTGATGTTTCCAACTCCATATTGTTTCAGTTCTGCTTTTTTTGAAGACTGAATAACAAGTTTTAAGAGGATATTGCATTCCTGGGTGTTTTTTCCTGATTACTGTTTGTCTTTTTGCAATGGAAACAAATTAATTTGCCCATGGAAAGGAAATAACACTGGTTTTAAAAGACTTTGCTAAAAGTCAGTGCACCTGACATGGAAAATATTCCTCCATTTTCTCATCAGACTTGAAATTGAATTTCAAAGGCAGTGCTCTGTGAAGCTTCAAACTTCCAAATGAGAGAGATTCTTCCCTTCCCCCTCACTGTTCATCTTGGTAGGAGATTGAAAATTAATACTTACCTTGGGAGACCAGGTTGATAGGCTGGCATCTTCCTTTTCTATATTGCTAGGCAAAGTGTTCCTCAACAGATTTTCTGGAGGGATTTTATTTTCTTATGTCTGCATCTCCTAGAAACAGGAGATGTGGTTTCCCCCCTGTTCCCAGACTCCCAGGTAAACAGAGTTCTTAGCTGTGTACGTGTTAACTTTACCGGGGAGCCAAAAATCAGGGGCTACTCTAGAAAATCTGTATTTCTACCACTCTTTTTCTCAGACTTGCTTGTAAAATGGTGAATATGTTCTTACTGACATTTTATTTTATATTTTGTTAACCTCCTTCGTTTCTACAGCGTTATTCCTAATTCAACTCATGGATGTTTAAACACATAAGTTACACAATTCTTTTCTTTGAGTAGAATTTAGAGCTCCTGACATACCCATGTACAAAGGCAAGAGGTGAGAAGTGAAGAGCCAAATATTTTTCTAGCTTTGTACAAACTCTGTGCTGCCCACAAAGTTTCGGGCAAACAGTCAAACCCCATGAGGCTGTACGGTCTTAAGAAGTTACTTCCCCCTCAGTTGAACTGATATAACTAATTGCTGGGGATCCAGTTTCCAATCCCTGTTAGCTTGAGAAATCTCTGAAAGAACTGTGTGTCCTTCCTCTGTGCTGATGTGTCCAAGCTTTGCTGGTGACACCGGGGGTACGTGTCACAGCTGACAAACTTGTTCTGCAAGTTGGGATCTCTACAACCCATATCCTCATAACTCACTGAAAATCCAGGTGGGAGCTGTGGTCTTTCCCACTTAAAGGATGGCTTTTCACTGCACGTATTGTTTGCATCGGACCCCTAGAAAGAGAAGGCCCTTGGAATGCTTTATCTTGTCTGGTTTTGCTTGAATAAGTTTTAGAGCCCGTTGGCAGTCTGAGCAAAGATGGGGAGTGTTCTATTATGACATACCACGCTGTTGGATTCAATCTCAGCCACGTTCAGGTTGAATCTTGTGGAATTTTTTAGGAGAGAAAAAAAGGGAAAATAAGCCAGGAGCTGTGCTTTTTATTCAAACGCTGATAGTCTGACTTCTTGCTCACTTTTTGACTTTCAGACGCCAAATGAGGCAAAGGAATCTGCAGAAAAGACCCATTTCTTCAATGTGCCTGCCTTCCTGACAGTTTCTGGCCAGCTCCATTTGGAAGTGATGGCAGGGTGAGCAAAATGAGAAGTTTTTGGCTTGATCTGTGGATCTTCTTGGTTGGTAATTTTGTTCTGTTGGTATCCATTAGATATCTGCCACGTATGCCAGAAACAAACTGAGCAGTAGTGGCTGGATGATGGTGTGACAGGCCAGCCTAAGCAGGGGAAAATTAGACTGCTTTTTCAGTCTGGTCTGTGAACTAGTTCTAAATACTAGGAGTCTTCCACTTGCCATGGATTGGGAATATTGGATGGTGATGTAATCTTTATGGGAATAACTGTAGGATTGTTGCTAATAACTGTAATACTTAAGTATCTCTGTTCACATCTGGCATGTCTCATCAAGAAAATCTTTCATTTTCGACATCCCATTCCTGTCCTGTTTTCTCTTTTTTTTTTTTTTCCCAAGCTTCCTTTTTCTGTCTCCTTCAGTCTTCCTGTTGTGTTTCTTCCTTCTGCCAATTTTCATTTCTCCTGTTTCATGGCTTTCACAATTCTTTATCACAGAATAGAATCATAGCATGGTCGGGTTGGAAGGGACCTACCCTAGTCCAACTCATCCTGCAGTGAGCAGGCACGTCTTCAACTAGATCAGGTCACTCAGAGCCCCGTCCAACCTGACCTCAAATGTTTCCAGGGATGGGGCATCTACCACCTCTCTGCACAGCCTGTGCCAGTGTCTCACCACCCTTGTTGTAAAAATATGTGTTCCTTAAATCTAGTCTTTGTTCATTCTAGCCGTGAAAGTGATCACAGTCAAACAGTTAATACTGACTTTGATTTAAAAAAATATATATCCTTAAGCTTTTAATGTTAATAGTTCACTGAGATTGTTAGGGGTGAAAGTGTCAGTCAGTCAGAGAGGCAGTTCCCTTTGATTAGGGGGTTTGGTCCTCATCTACACTGAATTTTCCTAATAAATTAACTAAATTAGTACATTAAACAGATGGAGTCAAATCGGCACAATCCCTTATTTGAAGGCACAGTTTTCTGAGTGCTTGCAACGTGGGTTCTCCTCAGACATGGTACTTCAGACAGATCACTGCTTGCCAGCTGAATAAAGCCTTTCAGAGACCAGATCTCAGGCAGGTAGCACTGCAGTTGTTTGCCACTTGCCAGGGGGGTTCATCATGCACTTACAGTGACTTTAAAGTCACTTCTAAAGTGGTTAGTTACTGTCCAGTGTGAATCCCCTGAAGACAAGAGGGATAAAGTCCTAGCTTTAGAAAATGTGAACTTGGAAGGTTTGCCTTTTCATGTGGAGGTTTTGATGGTATTTATAATAGTCTTACTATTTGCTGTCCATGCCTCATATCCAGTGTTGAGAACCAATGTTTTTTATTTAATCACTATTGCACAGTTTAACTGGCTGCTGGTAAATAGCCGCAGTGGAATTGTTCAAAGGGCAAGTTTTACATATAAATCAACAGGTATAAATTCCTTCAGAAAGCTGTTTTCCTCCTGGCTTGTTCTTTCTGAGAGACGCCGTCTCAAACCGCCTGGACGGCTGTGGTCTACTGAAATACTCAAGCTAAAGGTTCTCGATGGACAGGATGTTTCTCACGTGGTGCCCTGGCTGCTGTGACCGAAGCGCAGGTCACTTGGCAGCCAAAGGCTGATGCATCATCTCGGACATTAGCTGGGGACAGTTAATGAGGAAGAGGTTTGTTTAACTGTAGGGTGGTGGAGTTTTTGCGTCCCTGAAAGAAGATGGGATGGCATGCATTTGCACGTGTTAGACTTCATTAAATGTCATGCATTGTGACCTTTATTGAAAGATGTAATTCCATGAATCAAATAAGTCCAAAGAAAAAGTATGGGTTGTAATGATTAACTTGAAATGCAATCTCACTCTCCTGCATCAGTCTGTTCCCTTTAAATAGTACGCAGCCTGCTCTGGGATGGAGCAGAAGGCTAAACTGGGCAGATGCAAGACCTGTCTGCTGGATGTTTTTTCCACTGATATCACTCAGGCTCACCTTGCTCTCTGAGGATGGGTAGAAATAATCAATGCTCTTCAGCATGCAGTACATTACATTACATTACAGCTCTGGGTTCCTATTTTACAGTAGTGTATTGTTCTTGCAGGCATTCTAAATGGATCCAGCGCCATCCAAATTTAGATAAGCTGTGTTTATTCATAATAGGGCATAGCTGTTCTGTGAACCTGCTCTTTTTATTTTTATTTTACTTAAGGACACTGAATTTTTGAGGCCTACAGCTCAAGTGGTATTGAATCCTTTCAGTCTTCAAAAATAGATCGACCTCTTCTAGATGCAGGAGCGCCATAGTGATGCATCACAGTATTAACCCTCTAGATACTGTGAAACCCTCTAGATACTGTGAAGGTTTTATCTATGGTTGTCAAGTTGGGTCTTACTCTGTGAGTCGGACTCCTACATGATCAGAGAACAGAAGTGCATAATAGTAACCAGAGCTGCTTGGCAAATGAGTGTGTTGTGGTGATGTGTTCGGAGTAGTAAAAAGTGGGAGTCCATCTCCCCTCAAAATTGAAATGTTCTGGTCTTCCCAGTAAACAAAGCAGCCAAAACAGTAAAGATTTATATGGTTTGGATTTGATCCTGTGAAATTTACCCTTTGTTTTAGCCAGACTAAATTTTTTTTTTTTATGTCCAGAAAAGCAACTATTCTTCAAAACTTATCTTTAGCTTAAATTAAAGTGTTGACTTGCTGCAGTCTTGAGGCTGGCTTTCAGGAACAACTGGTCCCTGAGAATTTGTGGGAGGAGACCAAGGTAGAAATGCTTGGGAGACCCTTCCTTATCCAGTCTTGACCTGTGTCCTGTTGTGACTTGCTGTGAGACACGGGAGTGCAGAGACAGATCCTGCAGAAGTCCATTAGAAACCAGGGGTGGAGCAAGACAGGTATGAGGCAGGGAGGAATTTGTCCATGGGGTGTATGTAGTAGGGAACAGAAAGCCAGCTAGGTAGTCGTGTCTCTTTGGAGTTAGCTTTTAGCTTTATAGTGCTCATGAGCAACCTCCAAGCTGTGGATGGAAAAGTCTAGGCAGGGGAGTTACAGAGGAGACTTACCAGATGTGTCTGGAACCAAGTCTTCTGCTGTCCTTGCTGAGAGTTCACCTGCAGCCCACAGGATGTCATCTGAGTACCTGTGCCTGCATGTTGTCCAGGGTTCAGGGCTGCTTTGTGCTATTCCTGATTACAGGAGAGAACAGTGAGCCATTTGTAATTTGTGAGTTTTTAACCTTTTTCTTTGAGGAAAAATGGGAAGAGAGGTGTTCCTGCATTTATTGACTGTCTGCTGCGCTGTGTATGCTTGTTATTGAAGGCAAGGTCAGAGAAGTTCATCTTCTCTCTCAGTATGACACCAACAGCCTAGTTGGCACAACTTCTCATTTCATTGTACTTCATCTTTGCAGTGACGGCATCTAGGTTGACTGCTCAGAGTGTCTGAATCATTGTCAGCTGCTATAAATCCGTAGGCTCTTTAAGGCCTCCAGAAAAGTCTTCGTTCAGTAATACAGCTCTCCCCTTCAGTCTTCTCGGTCTCAGATGAGTCAGTAACCAAAGTATATAGAAGTTTGTAGGACTGTGTGTGTCCCGATAGCTGGTTTTAAATGTCGTTGGTTTGCTGTGAAGTCCTTGTGGTATTTCCTTGCCTCATGATCTTCCAGTGAGGATAAAGGCCTCTTTGGGGACCTGAACTAGGCTGGAGGGTCTGTGACAGCTGAAGATGACTCAGAGACACACTGGAGACAGCCAAAACAAGTTGCCAAGCAGCACAGCTCACTGGCTGTGCTTAGGAGTTATTTACTTGTAACTTTTTTTTCTCCTATCACCTGTCTGCACTTCCCGCAAGCGCTGCCTGCTCCTCTCCTTTCAGCCCCTCTTGCTAATTGTTTACATCATTGTTTTGCGTTGATTTTCCTTGTGCCATGTTTCATCCCAGGCACTGTCCTGCCTTTTGTGTCATGAGCTTAACTAAAGCTACTCTTTCTAAAAGCTTGGGGGCCTACCCCCTCCCTAAATGGCAGAGTAAGTTATCTCCTTGTTCCTTGCCATCCCTAGCTCTGTTTCTTTTCTCTTAGCAGGCCTTCAGTAGGTTTCTCCTCCCTTGTTCATCGCGCATTCTCTTGAAGTTCCCTGCAAATGGGTAAAAGGCTCAGGGGCAACCTAATAGCAGCCTGCTAGGACCTGTGAGGAGGTTGTCAAGAAGACAAGCCCGATCTTTGCAATGGGGAATGGCAGGAGGACAAGAGACAATGGGGATAAGCAACCTAATAGCAGCCTGCTAGGACCTGCGAGGAGGTCGTCAAGAAGACAAGCCCGATCTTTGCAATGGCGAATGGCAGGAGGACAAGAGACAATGGGGATAGGTTGAAGCAGGAGAAGTTCTGAGTGGGGATGGGGGGGGGGGAAATTACTAAGAGATCAATCAAGCATTGGAAAAGATTGCTGAGAGGGACTGTGCACTCTTCATCCTTAGAGGATTTCGAGACCCATCTAGATAAAGCCTTGAGCAACCTGGTCTGACCTTCTTGCTGACCCTGCTTTGAACAGATAACTGGACCAGCGACCTCCTGAGGTCATTTCCAACCTGGATTATTCTGTCCTTCTAAGTTTATTCTTGGCTTCATTCTCATTTACCTCTCCACCAATTGCATCCACAAGAGCATCTTGGTGAATTACCTCTCTAGTTCACTTTCCGTTCAGCATCTCTGCCCAGAACCTGTATTTTTCTGCCTAACTTAAAATCTCAGCCTTTCATACTGCCTGTTAGGGTCTGGCTATCAGACTTGGTTTAGTTGAAAGATAATTAATCCCACTCCCCTCTCAAGCACATCCCCTTGATTTCTAAACAGTCATGGATTATGCTACTGGTTTGCCTATTCTAGATACTCTTTGCAATCCTGCAGCTGTTTTGTCTGGTTGTAGAGAGGCTTTAAAAAAGAAATCTGTCACCCAGACCATTTTAGCTGTGTCTGCCTGAGTTTGTAGAGAGCTGAACAAAGTGAATTTTCCGTTGGTTTC